AAAAAAAAAAAAAAGATTAGGTCAATACTTTAAGTTAGTAGAATTTGCTCTGAGACAAGTCTTTCAGTATACAAATTGGTCTCTAGTGATATGAAAGAGTAAATGAATTAATTCCCTGAATGTCTCCCAGTAAGTTTTGCCTATGAATACAGAAAATGGCTTACCAAGTGCCATCATGCCCACTGTGCAGTTCATGTCAAAATTCTCGACATGTCTTTAGTTCCCTAGCTGTGGAGCAACAGCAATTTGAGTTTAACTTGTTAATATGAAAACTTTAACACATCATCTCATCATAAATAATTCTCTGTTGTTGCCTTTAAATTTATGTAATTGACTATAAGCCCTTTTAAGCAGACATTTTAAATATCTTTAATCTGTTAAGACAGAAACTATATTAATAAGAGTTGCTTTATTTTATTTATCTATTATTAATTTTTTTTGTTAATCAGACCCAGGTGACGCTTGAACCTGCTGCCTTGGTGTGCAGGGCTGGGATCCTAACCACTGAACTACAGTGCCCAGCTGAAGTTGCTTTATTTAATATATAATTTTCTGTTGTATACAGAAATAAAAAGGAAATACTACATACTGTGTTGTTTTTTAGCAATGTGGTTTGTACTTAAATGTGATTGTACAGAAAATAGTGAACACAATACATATTTTTATGTGTGAAATGCTACATTTTTTTTTCATTTAACAGAGTGAACCTACTATTTTCACAAAGTACCAGGCAAAACCCCAGCTGTTTGGAGGAGATACAAAAGATGGAGGCTTATTTCCTCTTCCTTCATCAGTTGGAAAATCAAAAGGACTCATGGAACAGTTTGAGGAGAAAAAGAAAAGAACAAAAGACAAATGTGACAGGTATATAAACCTTTCAAGTGGATAAGACAGCTTACCTTCTCTGAACAAAACAGGAAACAAAGTGTCAATAATCAAATAACTCAACTGATATCAGTGATTTATTATGGGAATTGGTATATAAGATTATGGAGGCCAAGAGGTTCCAGTCTGCATCTGGACAGTAGGCAACCAGGAAAGGTGGTATATTCAGTCTAAAGCCCATAGGCCTCAGAACCAGGGGCTTTGGTGTCCAAAGGTGGGAGAAGATGGATGTCCTAGCTTAAGAAGAGAGGTGAATGGCTCAGCGCCTGTGGCTCAAGCGGCTAAGGCGCCAGCCACAGACACCTAAGGTGGCGGGTTCGAATCCCCAGCCCGGACCTGCCAAACAACGATGATGGCTGCAACCAAAAAATGGCCAAGCGCTGTGGCGGGTGCCTGTAGTCCCAGCTACTTGGGAGGCTGAGGCAGGAGACTCGCTTGAGCCCAGGAGTTGGAGGTTGCTGTGAGCGTGATGCCATGGCACTCTACCCAGGGGGATAGCTTGAGGCTCCGTCTCAAAAAAAAAAAAAAAGAAGAGAGGTGAATTTGCTGTTCCTTTGCCTTTTTATTCTATTTTGTCCTTCAACAGATTAGGTGTTGCTCACCTACATCCATGATGGTTTCTTATTAGTCTCTGAATTAAAATGCTAATCTCTTATGGAAACACACTCATAAACATACCCAGAAATAATGTTTTACCAGTTATTAGGGCATTTCTTAGCCCAGTCAAGTTGACACATAACTAACCATTGGCTAAAACTATTGCCTTTGTAGTTGATCTAATAATTACTCTTTATGCGTCTTCTTGTCAATGTGATTGGTCACTACCACAACTTTGGTCTCTTTGAAAAATAATGTTATAGGCCTGGGTGTGGTGGCTCATACCTGTAATCCTAGCACTCTGGGAGGCTGAGGCAGGTGGATTGCTTGAGGTCACAGGTTTGAGACCAGACTGAGCCAGAGCAAGACCTTGTCTCTAAACAAATAGCCAGTGCTGGGCGGTGCCTGTGGCTCAGTGGGTAGGGCACCAGCCCCATATACCAAGGGTGGTGCGTTCAAATACAGCCCCGGCCAAACTGCAATAAAAAATAGTCAGATGGGGCAGCGCCTGTGGCTCAAAGGAGTAGGGCGCTGGCCCCATATGCCGGAGGTGGCAGGTTCAAACCCAGCCCCGGCCAAAAACTGCAAAAAAAAAAGAAGTCAGATGTTGTGGTAGGCACCTGTAGTCCCAGCTACTTGGGAGGCTGAGGCAAGAGAATCACCTAAGCTCAGGAGTTGGAGGTTGCTGTGAGCTGTGATGCCATAGCACTCTACCAAGGGCCATAAAGTAAAACTCTGTCTCTAAAAAAAAAAAAAGCAAACAAAGAAATAGCTGATGCTGTGGCAGATGTCTATAGTCCCAGCTACTCAAAAGGCTGAGACAAGAGGATCATTTGAGCCCAAGAGGTTGCTGTGAGCTATGATGCCACAGCATGCTACTGAGGGTAACAAAGTTAGACTCTGTCTCAAAAGAAAAATGAGAAAAAGAAAAATAATGTTATATTTATTTTGCCTAAAATTCTGTCCTTTAATTTGTTTTCTTTTCAAATCATCAGGATTAGAAATTTAGATAACATTGTTTATTACAGGGTCAAGAATATAATGCAGGCTCAGCGCCCATAGCACAGTGGTTACAGTGCCAGCCACATGCACTGAGGCTGGTGGGTTCAAACCCAGCCCCGACCTGCTAAACAACAATGACAACTGCAACAAAAATATACCTAGGCATTGTGGCAAGTGCCTGTAGTTCCAGCTGCTTGGGAGGCTGAGGCAAGAGAATCTCTTAAGCCCAAGAGCTGGAGGTTGCTCTGAGCTATGACGCTACAGCACTGTACTGAGGGCAACATAGTGAGACTCTGAAAAAAGAATATAATGCGGAATTTTTTTTTTTTTTATTGAATGGTAACTGTGTACACTGATGCACTTGGGGGGTACATAGCACAGAATTCTTTTTTTTTCTTTTGAGACAGAGTCTCACTTTGTCACCCTTGGTAGAGTGCTGTGGCATCATAGCTCACAACAACCTCCAACTCTTGGGCTCAAGAGATTCTCTTGCCTCAGCGATCTCTCTAGCCTGTAGTTCCTGCAGCTGGAACTACAGGCTACATTTTTTCATTGCTATTTGAAGTTTTTAATTCTGTTGATTTATAAATATTCCCAGACACTGATAGACATTTCCCCTAGGAATCTAGGATCTAGAACACAATTGGTTTTTTAGAGGTTCTTTATGTTTATAGTAGTGGACTGCAAATGAGCAAGCTATCACTACCTCCTTACTACTTCAGTCAAAGCAGTCTTAATATTTTGTTCTCTAGGCTTTTGTTTTATATTTTGTTTGGATAAGATATCTGCAGCTAAAAAATAAACTTTTAAACATTGGTTTGAAGTTCTTAATATTTCCTTGTAGCAGGTAGATTGGGGAAGGAAACCAGAATTCAAAGTATGAATGATCCAACTTTGAGTTCCCTGGTTTTTTTTTTAAAAAAAATTTAAAAATTTTGCTCTTCTGGCTCAGCACCTGTAGCTCAGTGGTTAGGGTGCTGGCCACCTACACTGGAGCTGGCGGGTTCAAACCCAACCTGAGCCTGCTAAACAACAAGGACAACTACAACAAAAAAATAGCTGGGCATTGTGGCGGCTACCTGTAGTCCCAGCTACTGGGAGGCTGAGGCAAGAGAATCGCCTAAGCCCAGGAGTTGGAGGTTGCTGTGAGCTGTGATGCCACAGCACTCTACCAAGGGTGACAAAGTGAGACTCTGTCTCAAAAATTAAAAAAAATTTTTTGCTTTGCTAAGACACTACTAGGAGAAAGAAAAGACGATCTACGAACTCAAAGAGAATACTTGTAAGCCATACTTTCAGATAAGGACCTTTAAGGCAAATTATGAGGGCTCTTTGGGGAGATAAGATGAAAGGATCGCTGGAGCCAGGAGCTCAAGACCAGCCTGGGCAATGTAGTGAGATCCCATCTCCATAAAAAAAATTAGCTGGATTGGGTAGCATGCACTGTATTCTCAGCTACTTGGGAGGCTAAGGCAGGAAGGTTGCTGAAGCCCAGGAGTCCAAGCTCCATTGCTCGGGCAAGAGAGCAAGACTGTGTCTTAAAAACAGAAAAACAGAAAAAGACTTGTATGAAGAATATATACAGATCTCTTTAAACCTAATAAGAAAACAACTTAATAAAAAATGGGGAAAGATTTGGACTGACAGAACGTGTAAGGGCCAGGCATGGTGGCTCATGTCTGTAATACTAGCACTCTGGGAGGCTGAGATGGGCAGATTGCTTGAACTCAGGAGTTGGAGATCACCCTGAGCAAAAGTGAGACCCCATCTCTACTAAAAATAGAAAAATTAGCCCTGAATTGTGGCTGATACCTGTAGTCCTAGCGATGGGGGAAGCTGAGGCATGAGAATTGCTTGAACCCAAGAGTTTGAGGTTGCTGTGAGCTATGATAACACCATGATACTCAGCCTCAGGTATCAGAGGATACCTCAGGGGAACAGAATGAGACTCTGTCTAAAAGGAACAAACAAAACAAAATGAAAATTTAAGGATGACAGATTAAACACACAAATAGACACTCCACATCATTAACCATTATGGAGATACAAACTAATATCACAATGAGATATTACTGAGCATCCATTATAATGGCTAAAGTTAAAACAAACAAAAACTAATAATACTGAATTCTGGGAAGATGGCTGACAAGTAGCAACCCTCAGCAGATGCTCCTGATCAGAGGGAGAAAAACTGGACAGAATTGGACTCTATGAAGCCAAACGTGAGAAGCTGAGCCAAGAAAGAAGTTCGGCAAGCTATGACTCCAAGGAATAGCATTCAAGCAAACAAATTACAGGTACAAAGGCTATTGACTAGAAGACAGGAAACCCCTCCCCCAAGGGGAAGGGCTGCTGTGCGCTCTCGGCAAGGGAGCAGGGAACAAAAGACCTCTCATTTTACCTCACTGGAGAGAGCTGCTAAACACTGAGTCTTTCTCCAGGGAGGTCCCACTTATGAACCTAGACACCACTCCACCAGGCATAAAACAAAACAAATATTTCCCCCCCCCAATTCAAAACTCCCGGTCCACCCTTCCCTCCTCTCCTGGCACTCTGAAGTCCTGCCCGCTGCAGAGCACAGAGTGTTTGGTCTTTTCCTGAGAGATCTGGGCATTGTGTGGACCTCCAAACATCAGAATGGAATCTGTGACTATTGGGGAAGAAAGAGGACATGCGAAGAAAGGGACATGGGAGGAGAAGCAATCCCCTGGTTATGACTTTACCTAGCCAGTGGTGGTCTTGACCCTCAGTTTGTGCTGTGTCTGGTGGGAGGGGCTGCAGAACCCCCCACTTGATGGTGCCCATAAGCAGGAGAGTGGTTGCCTGGTGTGGACTGAGTTTAGCAAGCAGTGCTGGTCCCTGGCCCTAGCTAGGCCAGTGAGCAGAGGCTTGCCAGGTGTGGACCATGATCTGAGGGCAAGGGTGTGATCCCCTGACTCCAACAGAGCCGGCAAGCCTCCTAGTGTGTACTGAGACCTGTGGGCAGGGGCATGGTCCCCTGACCCCAGCTGGGCTGGCGAGCAGAGGCTTGCCAGGTGTGGACTGAGAACAGCTCCAACTGGGGTGGCAAGCAGAGTCCACAAGTGTGGTCTCCTGGCTCCAATTGTGCTGTTGGAGACCCTTGCATCCCTCTCTTTTGAGCAGGATTTGTACTGCCTAAGACAATCTGATTGGAACTTGTGTCTGGGGCTGTTCACCACGGGACACTCTGGGGTTGCCCTTTAAAGTTCTATAGTGGAAAAGAACTGAAGGGTTGGTGCGGGGCCCCATTACTGAAATTTAAACCTAATACTGTGACTTCTTAGGATAGGGTAGAGGTTGGCTGATATCAAAACAGAGCTAGCTTGCGCTATCTGACCAATAGGTCTTCAGAGTCTCTG